GAGACGTGGCAATTTGCATTCACCCTGCTCTAAGGGTTTGCGGGCTGTTCATATGTAAACGTGGTTGAAGTCCTGACAGATTGTTGCTGCTCAAAAAAATGCTGATATTAGAGGACATTCTCCTGAACTGGAATAAAATTATTCCTTCAGTTAAAGCAGGAGATATTTACCCCTCATCTCATTCAGTAATTGTGAATAAAGTGGTCTTTCCTACTTTTTGGAAATTCTTATTTTAACTGGATGTATTTTTATCCAACAAAAAATGACCAGCTTTAAAGTTGTATCAAGTTTCTACCTGTGATATTTACAGAATGGCCATCACCCTGGGTCAATCTGTAAAAAAAAATGTACAATAAATCCCGTTTCTTTCCTTTCGGATAAATCTTGTAGATTGGTTATTTGGTTCTTAAGTCAATGTAAAGATTCTCGAGAGGGAGAAAGAAAGAAACCCCCACTTCTTATAAAAAAGGAAAAGGGGCAAGAGGGATCCATTATTTACTAAATACAAAAGTTAGTTTCAGTTTTTCATAGTCTGAGCTTCAGTGAGTTGTAACTGCAGAACTAGGGGAAAGGATGCAGTGGGGTATTACCAACAGGGATTTTTTTCCCCTATTGGTTAACACGGATTAGTTTTGTTGGAACCTTAGAAATAGTTTCATTTTCTCACGTGGCTCTCCATTGAACTGCAATCCTATCTCGTGCAGGTCTAATCCCATCGGTTTATCTCCTTGCAAAATCCTCTCACTGGTCAGCCAGCAGTTCTTCAAACCAAGCAGTCTCGTGTTCCTCTGTGAGACGGAACTCCAGCCATCTTGTAAAAAATAATGTTATTTTATCACTTTATGGGGGTAATAAGGTTAAATTGCACCCATTGTCAACGCCACCGGAGACCCCATCAGCATTCTTTACAAACATTCTCCTCAAATGTGATGTCCTTTAACATGATCATATATTTTCCAGAGGTGAGAGTCTGACATTTATGCTATTATTCTGAGAGAGAGATTGTTTGGGCTGAAAATGCATTGTTTGGGCCGTTCATAAAAGAAACAAGTTAAATCCCAAAGCAACCACAGACACGAGTGAGTGTCCATAGCCATAAAACTAGTTGGATGGGGAAGTCAAACATATAATCGATGCCCAAAAAGTTGTTTGGAGTTATAATGTGTGCAGAATCCTCTCTTAGGTGCCTCAAAACCATAGAAAATGAGACTTTTAAAAAAATCTTCCCTTCAATTCAGGAGCATAATACACCGTGAGCACTAATTGATGTATGTTATAATTCTTCACTGCCCCATCAGTAGTCTGGGAACACTGGAAGAAAAGAAAATGCCAGAAAGTTATGGCAAAACTTAAGATGCAACAGAAGTAGCTTTCTTTGCTCACGCTGTGAGTGTTTGAATAAGAAGAATGTCCCTGCACTGTAACAAGCTAAAAGAATGAGGAAGACAAAGGATTTCAAGAAAAAGATTTAGATAGAAGACAAGGCAAGTGAAACTGAAAGGAAAGGGGGAACCCATTTACAATGGAACAATGCACGTACTAATCGCTTTGATATATTATACAAACCCAAAGACCCAAAACATTGTGTAATTATTTATAAATGACTTCTTCACTCCTGTGTATAATACCAAAGAAAGAATAAAACTGCAGGCTACTCTCTAAACTATTTCTAAATAGACCTGGCTCAAAAGGAAGCAGAAGTATTCTAAAAAAAATAATTAATGGTTGATTTTATGGTTGTCTCATTAAAACATTTTAATTACGACACACAAAATACATTTGTACTCACAGGGAACAATTTACTTAGGTCTCTGTATCCCCAACAAAAATGTTAAATCACATTTTTTTTAAACGGGGGGGGGGGGAAGAAATCATGTTATTTCTGCATAACACATAGAAAGGAATTTTTTCATTCCAATGTGTGCTCAAATACAGATGTTTAACAGGTATTTCTGAATGGATTTCCGGGCCTGGTATAAAAATACTGCACTCCCAACCCGTCAGAATCTCTGTTTTGTCAGTGGACATTTTGTAGCACTCTTGTTTTATGCATATCATCCCAATTATGAAATGTTAATGCTTTACTGAAGAAAGAATCAGTCCTATATTTCATGCACACGTTAAACTCCATGGGAAGTTTCAGCCACAAAAATAAGGCCTGAAATTGACCAAAGCACTCATGATGCTTAGGTAGGAGTGAGATTAGGATCATTCCTTTTATAAATGAATCCTAACGCCATTTCAAAAATAATTCCTGATTCAGAAAATCTGCAAATGCTCTAAAACAGTAGAAAAATAAGTTTCTGTCAGGTATCTCTCTCTAAAATATTTAACTTCCAAGATTGTCCATTAGTCAATAGCTCTGGGCAAATGCATGAACCTCTGAACCTTTCTGTGGCTTCTGTTGAACTGTTAAAGAGTTGTGTGTCCATTGGGAAAAGTACCTTATGTCCATCATTAAGTTTTACAATTCAGTGCTGTAACACATGCTCTAACTACACAGCGGTATACAAAGCATTCATCTTCTCTACAAGCATTTAAACAAATAACTGTATATATAAGCTTTTTCACTTCAATGCATCATGATAAACACAGAAAGGGCAATGTTCTGTGCTGTGGAATTGTCCTATAAGTAATTAACGACAAATTCATTCACAAATCCCTGCAAATAACATTTTTCTTATCCTCACCTTCCCCTTCCCCCAAAACTACTACTAAATATTCAGCTGTAAAAATCTTCTGTCATTTAAATATCTATTGGACCATTCATCTATGTGAAGCATTTTTACTGCACTCCTTCCCATATTATTTTGGAGGGAAACAGAACAATGTGTCAAACAGCTGGATTATGTGGGCCTGATTCAACACCCATTAAAGTCAATAAAAAATATTCCCACTGATTCCAATGAGCTGATGCAAGTCAGCATCCTTCTGTACTTCATTTGAAGGTTCAAGAAAATTACTATGTATCAACCCAAAACAAAAAGGAGTAATCTAAAGACATATGTTTACCATCCAACTTTTGGCCATGTTCTTAAACTCTCTGTTGTATACATAAAACGTAAATATTTCTCAAATACCTACCAAGAATCATCTAATTAATACGTATTCCTACTTTGAATGTAGAGATCTGGACCAGATGACCTCCCCCAAGGCCTCTTCCAGTCCTACACACTATTATTATGTTTCTTGGCTTTTATTTCATTTTTACACTCATCTATATACTGGCTTAAGTCTCCAAATATCCTAACTGATTGTGTAAATACTCAGTTATTTTAAGTCACATATTACATGCCATATACGTAAATTTACAAATAATCTCGCTGAGACAAAATCCCATGTTACTGGGGTGATGTTATTGTTAATTAATCATTTTCATACAATTGAAGGAAACACTGAAACACATCTTCTTCTGCCCCTGATATTTAACTTAGTCTTGTCATTTTTCAATAATAAATTTAAAAAAATATTTTTAGAACAGATGTGTTTTGTTTTAAAGATGTCATTCTCTTGGGCACTAATCTTTTTTATGCTGTAAAAAATATAAAATCATTATGTGCGGTAGGTACAAAAAATATAAAATAAAAAAAATTACAAATAGAATTGTCTTTAAAAGGACATAGTCAAAGCTGAGTGTTAGCAAGAAGCCAGATAGTGAGGACTGTCATTCAGAGACAGAACTTTTCACTTCTAGGTTCCTGGCACTTGCAACACACATCACCATGGTACAAAGTTGATTTTGTGAAGTCTGATATTTATTTTTAGCTGCATACTTTGAAACACATTATCTCAAACACCGTCAATTTTCTGGCTATGTGATTTCTAAATTGAAAATTATGATCCCCCAGTTCTATGCCCGGTGAGTTGTATGATCCATTTCCTTGATCTTTTCCTAAAAGTTCTGTCACTTGATAAAAACTCTCAATTTCCCATTATATTTATTTATTTATAGATTTTTGAAACACATCCATCAAACATTGTTGGGGCTCCTGTAGAGAATTTAAAATTAACATGCAATATTCAGTACAATATTAGCATTACAACATCTATTCAACTGAGGCCTAATTCAAAGTCCACTGAATGGAAATAGTCCCCACGATTTAATGAAGTTTTGAATTATCATGCTATTGAAAATTGTGGCTCACCATAATGCCAGTTGTGTCTATTGAAAATTCAAACCAATAATTTTGCTTATTGTACCACAAGATCTTTCTATGCTATATTTTGATTCAAATTGGACCCAGAATTCAGTAGCTAAAATCAGAATGGAATGGAATGTTAGAACTACCGCAAGTATTTTTGTAAATAGGGTAAAGTTTGCCAAGGCAACGTTTTCCAAAAAAATACATGCATATGCCAAGCCTTCTTAAAGCTCATAATATGTAACTAAAGAAAAACAAATATTCAAAGATTAGTTGCATTTAAATCTGAAGAGTGAAGGCTACTACCAAATATATGCATTAGAATCAAATAGCCAGAAAGATACTAGGAATATACTTGGTATTTTGTCAAGTCAAAGGCCTATCCTTGATCTCCAAAAAGTCAATGAAACATTTACAATCAACTTTTATGGGCACAGGTTCAAAAGTTGTATTATTTTTCTTGGCTGCATAATTTATTTGCAAAATTAGTAGATGGTCTTCAACTGAATGGGTTGAATTATTCACTGCGAATAAATTATCCAAAAAATTTAGGACCTCTTTCTGTATGCAAATGGTTCATGAACCATTCTGTGAATGCATTCCTTATTCAAAGTACTAAGAGAATGAATTATGCAAACAAATTTCAGCCTATGGGTTGTTTGTGAAACATTCACATCGACTATTTACTGTTCATGGTATGTGACTAACGCATAAGTCACATGATATTCTCTCTGCTCTCTGATTGGATGATAAACTGCTCAATGGGGCAGTGAGCCTAAACTCAGTCAGATGATAAACTTGTCAAACAAGAGAATAACAAATGACAAACTGCAAATGATGAATAAGGATTAACGAACAATGAACTTCCACTGTAAATGTTCAGACAAATGATCATTATGTTAAAAATCCATGAAAATCCAAGGATCATAAATATTTGTGACAAATAACTCAGCAGTCATTTGAATACACACAAACAATGAATAGCGGTGGAGCAAATGAAGTATAGTACATTATTAGCAAAAATACAAACAAATCTTTTTATTATTTTATCACCTCTAATCTGCATGATTTCCTGACTTTCTTCTACTAAAACTGGAAACATTGTTGAAGATATCCAACTGCTAGCTATGTCTCAGTCCTGCAAACATTTACAAACCTTAGTAATTTGATGCAGTAATGCTAATCATGTGCATAATATTATTTTTGTGTAAGGGTTTGTAGGACAACCGCTTAAAATTGTCCTGATGGCAGATCCAATTATGCTTCACCCCAAAACTAGATCTATGTTTTCATCAAGGCAAGACCAATGGCCTTATTTTATATTACATTATATATGTAACTTATCTCACAAGAAAAACAAACTGCACTGTATAAAGAGCTGTCTATAGATTGAGGCTAATTTTTATCACCTAAAGCTTTGGTTTGTAATTTTTTAAAAAGTTTGAAGCATATCTTTTGTGACATTTTGCTGGTTGTCCACTGATAATCTCAAAAGAAAAAGCAGAAACTGCAGAAGGAATAGCCCAGTAAACAGCAGAAACATCTTTCATTTTTTGGACTCGAAAATATTTGCTTTGAACACATATTTGATAAAGAGTACAAGTAGAAAATTACTTGGGTTTGTCTGTTTTTCCTGATTTCCAAAGATATAGAAGCAAATAACAATAAGAAGATTCTAAATTTAAAATGTAGGGGAAATTATTATGTGAATGATTTGTAACGTGAATTAACGCTTAAAAAAGGCCTAAAAGTGACTAACCATTTGGTGTTTGTAAAACACAAAAACAACGGCCTAAAAGTGACTAATCATTTGGGGTGTGTAAAACACCAAAAAAAAGTGACTAATCATTTGGGGTGTGTAAAACACCAAAAAAAAGTGACTAATCATTTGGGGGGGGGGGGTGTAAAACACAGAAAAAAAAGTGACTAATCATTTGGGGTGTGTAAAATGCAAAAAAGAAATCCGATTTTCTGCCAGTGCTGACTACCTGCCATCTGAAAACCTAGCCTCTTTAAAGGCAATTAAATTGGGCAAGAAAAAACACACCCAATGTGAAAATTCAGAACCAAAATTATGTGTTTTTGTAGAAAATAGGTATTTAATAGAAGTACATAGTGTATGAGGGTCTGAGAGATAGCTAAGGAGATAAAAATAACTCTGTGTTAAAAGAAATATTCTCTGTAGTCAGAAAAAATAGGTTGATATGTTTACATGCACATAGGTTTATAAGATAAATGGACTCTGGAATCTGAGCTCCTTAATCAAATACTGATTATAAGTTAAAATAAATATTCTCTGTAGTCAGAAAAAATAGGTTGATACGTCTACATGCACATGGGTTTATAAGATAAATGGAATCTGAGCTCCTTAATCAAATACTGATTATAACAAAAATAAAGTGCACATGTAAACTCAAATCTAAAGTAAAGAAGAAACTACTACTTCAAGATAGTGAAAGTTTATCACTTCAGAATATTTTCACTTGATTGAGGTTTATGGAAGAGAATGCTAATCTCTGCTTCAGCACAGGAACATTAAAAAAAACCAAACCCCTCAACAACCTCTCAACAAAAGCTTGTCAGATTTAAACCTGGATCTCACTGAAAACCACACAAGTTGAATCCCTTCACAACTGAGACAAATCCATGCTGCCCATTTCCTTTCAAACCATTAAACGGTTGCAGTTTACTCCAAACCCTTGAATGTGAAAACCCAGGCCAAGCACCCTAAATCAGGAAATGTGAGAAATTGACTTAGTTTATACACCTTTGCTTCACTGTCTTTTATAGGGAGAGCTTTGTCTTGCCTTATCTCCAATGGCATTGTCTTGTTTCACTGTCTTCACTTTCCCTTAACACATGGGAATAGGCTCCAAGAAAGATTAGCAGAAATCCATCCACCCTATAGTAGCTGCTGGGGATGTCCTGGAACATTATGTTTGAACCAGAAGGTATCAGCTCCCCCCACTGTCAAAGGAGCCTTTCGGGACTGTGCCTCTGCCCCTAAGGCTAATCACTTTGTTCCTCCTTTTTCCTTTTAATAGACTAATGAAGCTCAAACAAGTAGGCTTAGCCTAGTGATAGCTCACGTGTCTCAGATGCAGCTCTCTCTTGCCATTGGCCAGCAGTAATTATAGGCACACTCCAGGGAGAGAACAGACACTTGGAGCATAAATTATGCAAATACCGGAGAGTGCAGCACGGGGCAGACCTGATGCCTCGATTCATTCATGCCGCAAGGCCTGGGGGGGCTCGGGGTTCGCTATTGTTTTACAGGGTATATAAGGGGTCTGAGGCCAGTCGTGTGCCAAACTCACGGCTCGCACGAGCTAATAGCAGCAGAGATCACTTCAAAGACAAGAGCAGTCGCGTGCCCCCCACCCCTCCCACCCCTCCTTTGGTAGGGAGCCTCCAAGAGCTGGAAGTTTGTCCTGACTTCACTTACACTGGGAAACTTTTTTTCCTCCCCTTGGATTGCACCTCTGAGCCTTTGCACGTGAGTATGTGGGAAACGCAGACACGCCTCTCTCTAAATCCAGCTGTCCCCATCCCACACCGACACCAGAGAGCTGCTGCGCCTAGGCAGAGCCCGTTTAACTTCTCCCCCTAGTCAATTGGTTTATTTCCCCCCTCTCGCTATATATATTTTTTTTCAGCCTTCTTTTGGGGTCCGGGGCTCGCCCCGCCCCGATTACACCTTGTTGCTGCTCACGCTTTGACCTGTCCCTCTGCTCCTGCCCCCAGTGCCAGGCGCTCATACACCAGAGAGCTGCTGCGCCTAGGCAGAGCCCGTTTAACTTCTCCCCCTAGTCAATTGGTTTATTTCCCCCCTCTCGCTATATATATTTTTTTTCAGCCTTCTTTTGGGGTCCGGGGCTCGCCCCGCCCCGATTACACCTTGTTGCTGCTCACGCTTTGACCTGTCCCTCTGCTCCTGCCCCCAGTGCCAGGCGCTCATGGCGCGCCCCCCTCCCCGCAGGAGGGGCCGGGCAGGAGGCGGCGGCGGGGCCGCTGCCGGGCGAGGAACGAAGCCGCCCTGCACAGCCTGCGCAAGAGCCGGCGGGTGAAGGCGAACGACCGGGAGCGGAACCGCATGCACCACCTCAACGCCGCCCTGGACGAGCTGCGCAGCGTCCTGCCCAGCTTCCCCGAGGACACCAAGCTGACCAAGATCGAGACGCTGCGCTTCGCCTACAACTACATCTGGGCCCTCTCCGAAACCCTGCGCCTGGCCGACCAGCGCCTCCACGCCGCCCCGCGGGAGCGGCTGCTGCCCGGCTACCTGAGCCCCGCCGCCCCGCCCAGCCCCGGCAGCGACGCGGGCTCCTGGAGGTCCGCGGGCTCCTCCTTCTCCGCCTGCGCCTCCAACCCCAGCAGCCCGGCCACCTCCGAGGACTATGGCTACGGGCCCACGGAGCCCCTCTTCGCCGCCTGCCACCGCCTGCCCCCCGGGGAGCTGCTGCTCAGCGACCCCTGCTGCGCTCGGTTCCCCCAGGCGGATGCTGCCGTGTGAACCAACCCATGCGCAGGCCGCCTGGACCGCCTCCTAGCGTCGCGCTTTCGGTGGGGGCGGGCAGGCGGCGCCCCCTAGGACCGGGGGCGAGCGGTGTGTGACCGCCCAGGAGCACCGCTGGGCGCTGGAGGCAGAGAGCCCTGCCCCTCTGCAACCATCGGGCTATAATCCTTGGGTAGGGCAGGGCGTGAGCTGGACGCTGCTCGCCTTCCCAAGCCGCCCCCAGCCTCCAAGGGCAACAGGAGCCAGCTCATGGTGGGGTGGGGATGGGTTTTTTGTCCTTCTCCTCCCCCCTTTGCACTTTTCTGAACTCCACAAACTCGCCTTTGTTGCTTCCCTTCCCACTGATCGGCGCCCCCGCTTCAATATGATTTAGAAAGGGGAAGAAAAGGGACAGATTTGCTGCTGCAGACGAGGTGAAAAGTCAATTTTACAATTTGTAGAACTCAAATGAAGAAAAATGAGCATGAAAATTTGGTTTGAACGCCCTGACAATACAATGAAAAGGCTTAAGGAGTTGATCCTGCCGGGTGCACAGCACTCCCTGCCGGGCGCTCAGCGCGTGTAACTCCCTTTGACTCCAATAACAGAGGAGAGGGCTCAGCCTGTCCCCCAGGGCGTGTTCAGCTGAGCACCTGGCAGGATCAGACCCGAAAGACAAGGCGCTAGATTCATGCATTATGGATCTCTGACCTCCAGCACTGCTGTCTTGCTTTAAGAGCAGGACTAAACGGAGTATTCAGGAACTGGGCCTGGCATTCGTTTAATTTATTCGAGATGTTTCATTCATATGAAAATTGTATTTTTGTACAGAAAGAGCTTTATTCTGTTGTCTGTGAGGTTTTTATAAATACATTTGTACTTGTAAATACAATTTTTAACGTTTATACTTAATTTCTCCAGTGCATTTATTTGACTTTTCAGGTCTTTTATTTCCACAAAAGAAGCTGCATTGGGGAGGAGGGAAGGAAATGATTTCATGGCCATTTAAAATATGTCTACAACAGTAATTATCACAACTAAATGTTCAGCTATATGCTCCATCCAGCAATTATAGATAGGAGAATTTGTGTACACCTCCCTGTATTTAACACAAATATCCCTTAAAGTTCATGCTAAGCCAAATTAAAAATTGATTGCATTGGTTTAGCTTCTAGTAAACCACTACCTGCAGAGGTGCAGGCACTGGAAGGAGAATTTCCTTTGTGTAATGAAACATCAGCTGGCAACAGAGTTTCAAAGAAAAGGGATTAAAAGGATCAATAATATGTGACAGTTGGGCAGAACGCAGAAAATGACAGGTGGATGCCTGAAGCAGTGGGTTTGAAGGCTCTGTTTTCTGCAGTATAACAGAAGAGCTTTAAGCTCTTAGGGGATTTGCACCTTTTTTTTTTTTTGTCCAATGTGAAGTCTCCAAAATTTGTAATATGGAAGACAGACTCATTCTTATTGCTATATATATCCATAAGGGGTGTGTGTTCCATTTGGCTTTCCAAAGAAAACAGAATTCTTATTTGTCCCAACAAAGAAAAAGCTACATTCCCTTTCTCAATCAGTCATCTTGACTCTGCAGGATGCTTTTTAGCTGACACATGTTCATTCTGAAATGACATAAGTAATTTCAAATAGATTTGGTCATGAGACTATTTTTTACATGTTTAAATTGGAGCAGTCAGGATATCTGACATACTGTTATCCCTATGGAATTCACGATAAGAGGGTTACAGATGAACTTTATAAAAATCCTTCCTTATATTGCACTTTTCACCCATCTTTATGGATCTCAAAGCCCGTTATGAACATTAAACGTCACAATATATTTAAGAAACAAGGAAGTATTCGTATCACTATAATATAGTGCAGAGGTGGGGAACCTGAGGACTGGATGTGGCTTCTTAGGGTTGGGGCTCTCCCGGGAGCATTGGGGAGCCCACACTGGAGCTCAAGCCCCCACCCCGCTGCCCACCACCATCCCACGAGCAGGCTAGAGCACACAAAATCTACTAAACTGTGCTTCCTAGGCTCTGGAGTATACAGGGAATATTGGAAGTGTCATTCTCCTCAGTCGGAGGCCGTGTTAGTGAGGGTTTATTTTTCCTTTTTTGCTTCTCACTGGTGTGCGTTCCCTGACTGATTTTTCTGTGGGTCAGCAGCCCCCGACCCCAAAAAAGTTCCCCATCCCTGGCAGAGTTGGATAAATACAGGCTCCGAGATATTAAGGACCAGATTTTTCACAAGGGCTTGAGCATATACTGTTGAAGCCACATTTTCAAAAGAACGGAGCACACTGAATGAAAATCTGGCCATAGTATTACAATGGGAGCTTCTAGGTGCCACTGCCAAACATTTTGGAAAGCCTGGATATTATGGAGGAGTAACCCCAACTGTGGATGCTGAGCACCAGAAAATCTGGCTCTCTTGACCCAAGTGGGCACACACAGTCAGAGGAAGAGAGTGGAGTACAATAAAGAGACATTCTATTATAAAGAAGTGCCAATACTTTACAATAATTTGTTTTGATTCTGCAATTTCCACTGAGTAAACCCACCATTTAAAACAGTGGTATGCAATTTTTATTACGGCACTGCTTGGAATATTGGATCATGCACAATTTAGTGGATAAGTACTGATATTTTTACTATGAATTTATTTGAGCAAAATTAAAATAGTTAATGGGCAAGTTTCATTTTCCTTTGTTTTCTTACAGACAGTGTAAGAAGACTGTGTTTGGAAATTGATCAAATGAAAGTTTGGCCCTTGGATTTGAGTCTAAAATGGAACAACTCCTACTTGCAGACCCATGGAATAAGTTTATGGGTTTGAAAATTATTTCCCCTTTCCCCCTCTATTTGCTTTAATAGCAAACATAGGGTGTGCATGGCCGGATAGTCAGCTCTCATTATGCAGAAGGGCTCTTGGAAGGGAGTCAGCCTCAGTCTTTTGCTTTGGGAGCTTATTCCATTTCTATAGGCAAGGGTAAATCCTCTATTTGTGACTCCAGCAAGGGGTCTCTCCAATCCTGCTGTAGGTGCACGTGTCTGGGATAGAACACTGGCTTTTCTTCCTCTAAGCCCTCAGGAGACGCACCAGGAAACAAATTCCAAAAACACACTAGCATCCTGCTCCAAGCAGCATGCAAGGCGATTGCTTTTCAGTAGACAGCTGTATGCAGCACTGAATGAAACAGGGAGACCAAGTTGATTATTGCCATTGCATAGAAGGAAGTATTCAAATATAGCTATTCTTAAGTGTATCATAACAACAGACTCGCAGCTCTGTTTAGATGTGATGATGCTAAACCCATAGCTTAAGGAAAGCTTTACTGGCATTACATGTCACTTTTTCTGTCGTTAAGACTAAATCAACCAAAAGAGATGGAAAAGATCCCTCTTCTGTGCAGCATGAAAGGAGAAACAATATATTCAGCTGATTCTGCAACAGCAGATGCAGAACTATTGTGCTCTGAGCTAGAGACAGTTTGATACTGAGTGAGGTTGTTCCCCCTCCACAATCTCTGCTCCACTGAGGTGTGGAGATAATTAGCTGTGCAAATCCACTCTTTGCTACTCCAGTATTTGTGAGTGTAAGGAGGTGGGGTAGAGGGGAAGGAAGAATGGAGATTTCCAGATGAGGGACTGTAATCTAAAACTCTGGTTGCTGACCTGTTTCTTTTTATCATGCTTTAAGTCTTGAATAATAATAAAGATACTCCTGAGCACTCATACTCACTTTGAACAGATCCCCAACCTGACGTGATCTCATGATTCCCATGTTACCGAAGGGGAAGTTGAGATGACTTGCCCAAGGACAATCACTAACAAGGAGCAGAACGCTGGTCTTCTATGTGCAACTCTGTGCTGTAATCACAGCCCAGCATCCTCTCTCTGCTGGGCTCAGGGAGAAGATGGGAATTCCCTAGCTGGAATTGTTTCTCTTATGAATAGAATTATTTGGGGTGTATTTAGTTAGTCAGCCACCTGGTGCCACATGGTATTGGTTCTGGTATTTCAGTTAAGTCTAGCCTCTCCATTAAAGAGTGCCCTCATAAAGTCATTTTTACTCATTGGAATAGATTCTCCATTGTATTAGTGTCCTTTTTTGCTCAGAATGGCTCCAGAATTATGATTTCTCTGTGCCTCATTTCCCTATCTATAAATTGGAGCTAATGCCATGCCTTTGCCTCATAGAGGAGTTGGAAAAATAAACTAAATTCATCAAAGTCTGTGGAACACTCACATAGTATAGTAATGAGCACCATAAAAAAAGCCCATAAAATTAATAATTCCACCTTCAGAGAAGGATCTGAATAGTGCGCAGTAACCAAGGCATAGGGCCACATATTGAACAAGGATAAAACAAAATATTAAATAGCTCATTAAAGAAGCACCATCCATCTTGTGCACTGAACAGGGCAAAGGTCCTGTGAGGAAAAACATATGTCTAATAATTAAAGACTGTCATAAAGCATAAACAAGCTGGACAAATTAAAGCAACACGTGCAACCTTAATTCTGCCATTTCCTAACTTCGGAGTGCTTGATTTTGCAATTTAAATAATGTTCTTTTAATGTATGTTTTGTGTGTATGTGTGTGTATATATATATATATATATATATATACACACACACATATAAATAAATAGAAGTATTTGTATTCATGTACACACACAAATAATGTATCTTTTTGGAAATACCAATACTTATTTTTAATATAAGCATACGGTATATGCAAGTCCCTATATGATGTAAATAGAAAGGTTGTGCAAAATACAATTCTGGAGGCAGTAACAGGTCTTTTCTATGAAGCAGTGAAGATTTTTTTTGCACCTGCCCTTATAAGCTACAAGGTTTTGTATGGAGTAGCCTCTGGGGACTGAAATTTAGTACAACTCATGGAGATGGGAGGTCATCTAAAGTCACTGAGTCCCAAGACACAGAACTTCAATCTCAAAGAAAAAAGATAAAACTTCAAAACACTACTATTCCTTTGTATTTTTGTAACTATGAGCAGACATTATGGACGTTATGCAATATAGAAAGGCCATATAGCCACCAGAGTTCAGTCTGTGATGTTAATGTTCCTAATGACTAGTAATGGAACCTACATACTGCAAGAAAATTCAATTAGGTTTACATATTAACATGAATCAGAGAATGGTTCTTTCTAGAGTATTAATAGGTTTGGATATACCTGAAAAAAATCTATAGATCTACCAAACTATATGCCTATATTGAGAAACTGGCTTTTACGAGTTGCCTTTACAATAGCAGTCATTGTATAGATTACACTTGAACCTCTTGAATCAGGCAAGCTTGGGAAACAGGGTATGTTGGTTACAATTTGCCAGGCCAGGGAGGGTGTTGCAGGGTCTGGACATGAGGGGGACGGAATGGGGGCTCTTACGTGATGCTCTGCTCCAGGGGACACATGGCTCTGTGCTTCCTGCTGCTCCCAGGCACCACCCCTTACCACTATGGCAACAGCTGCGAATACCCTCAGGAGAAGTGTTTCACTGCACCGTCATTCCCCTGACTGGGGAGATGGAGCGTAAGTATTGAGAACTGCTTCCTCCTCCACCTGCTAGGGTCTGTACCATGGGGCTACGTCTACACTGGCAGCTTCTTGCAAAAGAACAGCTGTTCTTCTGCAAAAACTTGCCGGCTGACTACACTGCACGAGCGTTCTTCCAGATGTAAATTTACAGTACAGCTTTGTAAAACAGGGCTTCTTCCGGAAGAGTTATTCCTCTCCCCACGAGGAATAAGCCCTCTTGCGCAAGAGCTCTTCCAGAAGAGGGCAGTGTAGACAGGCAACATGAATTTCTTGCGCAAGAAG